TCTACGGACTTCCCCCACCTGCATGGAATTAGGCAGAGGGCTCTGTGTAGCCTTTGGGCCACAGGTTCACAACTCCTAAGATGTAGAAACAGGTAGAAATGTATACCTATGACCAAGAGGCAACAGGGTGCCAAAGAAGACTCTCAACCCAGGGTCTCCAGCAGCCAGTCTACAGTCCCACTGTTTGGTACCACCCTGGACACTATTGGATAGGTAGGGATGAATCTGCCAACTGTGGCTTCTTGCAGTTTCTCATTTTTACAATTCAGTTCTCTGCTTTTCCACAGTAATTTGTGATTTAAAAAAAAAATGCTGATGAAAATTCAACACCATTTTACTGCAACTTTCTCCTAACATAGAAGAAACTATGTTTTTTGTGCACTTTTTGAAAGCTATTTTCCCTAATGCAATGATTTTTTCTGTGCTATTATTTAATTTTTTTATTTTACTAATTTATGCATTTTAAGCACACTTCGTCCTGGTGCCCCCCCCAAAAAAACACACACATTTAAGGTCGGGGAACTGAATCACAAAATTTAGTGACATGCAAATTTTGAAGGAATTTGGTTTGCATATTGATTCAAAAAGTTCAAATTAGGTACTTTCTCATTAACATATAAACAACACTGAATAATTCCCCCATCAGTAATCTGACGGGGATTTTCTTTGGGCTATAGCCCAAAGAAAAGGAAGATTGGTTGCACAAGTTGCCTTCCACTCTCACAACGATTTGATACAACCCACTCAAAACTATTCTATGATGTTGATTATATTGGTTGACTTGGTGCTGAGTCTTGGCCAATTCATCTCTGTACCAGGGAGCTAAGCTCCTGCAGTGGAACTGGGAAACATACAAGTAAACTCAAACAGATGAGCACAGTGCAGTGTGCAGTATTTTGTTTTGTTTCAAACTTTCTTGTTCAATTTACATTGACCTTGTGGCAAGGACAAAGCTGTGTTTCTAAAGGGCTTCTTGGAAAGTTTAAGTTCTTTCACAATCTTATGAATATGTTTAATCTTAAAAATCACTTGCAGTGTCCTTCTAGTTGGTGAAACAGCAGCTGCTGCTGTACCCAGGTATAGAACACGCTGTTTAGGTAAGGTAGAATTTCATTCTTGCTCAAGCTGTGAACTCTCTAAATGCACCTTCCCCCTGCGCAAGTCAAATATGTTATACAATCCGCAGTATTCTTTTTCCAATGCAATGAGAGTACAGAAATTATACACAGCTTCACTTTTTGATCTGAAATCTTTCACATGTAGTTTTTGCAATAAAGTTTCACACACTGTGAGAGTAATCATACTGAAGTTAATGGAACACAGCATAGTGTCAGTGCTGGATTTACGTATAAACTGAACAAGCTATAGATTAGGGCCCCGCTCCCCCCCCCAATTTCCCCTCCACTATTAATATACTTCTTCTTAATTGTATTTCAGTTCAACAATTATTTTTATAAAATACATATTTTGTTATGTGCAAATGGCTTTAGATGCCTATTAGGTCCATAAATTACCATATAGCAGATATTCAACACAAAAAAACCAGCGACAATTTGTTGTTGGCAAAGGACAGCTGGACATATAAAGGGCCCCATTACCTTCAGTAGCTTAGAGCCTCATCAAACCTAAATCCGGCCCTGCATAGTGTGTTCGAAATCTTTTTGGCCACATGACTTCCAACAATGTGTATAAATATTACAGTTATGTTGTCGCATTGCCACACACCAAGAAAAATGGGGAACAATGAAACTTATGGAAATTTACAGAATTTTAAAACATTGTACTCAAAATGTGTCTTACATCCTGAACTAACCCTGTAAACAGCACTTTTTAATGTAAAATCAATAGCTTTCATACAACTGTCAATGCAGATTTAATAAATATGTATTCATTAGTAAAGTGGTATAAAAACATCTATCTAGATACCAAGTAGATCTTAGGAGGGAAAATTCTATTATGCATCTCTCCTCTAAACACATACAGCTTTGTTCTGCATAAAGCTACACTCAAATATTCCAGAGCCCTTTCTTAATGGTTCTGAGGGTATTCCCAGAACCAGGAGAGAGAAAAATAGATCTTTGACTACAGTCATGAGGAGCATAACCACTAAGAGGCAAAGGGTTCTGGCACTGATCCCTAAGAATGATGGTAGGCAGACATAAGCCTATTTCATTTCTATTTTTACTTCCAAGTGAACCAGATATGGTGATCCTGTGTCTAAATTTGTGATGACTGGATTTTAGCTAGATTTAAGAGGTTGTTCAGATTAATTCATTTATGAGGTGATTAACATGGGAAGCATCATGCAATTTTCAAGGCCAGCTACCCTCACACTGATGGATGCTTTTTCTTTGCAGTAAGGATGAGAAAACCCGAAGGCTTGGACTCCAAACAGTGCAGAAACTGATGGGCTTAGGCCTAGCATTCCACTTTCAGCCTGACAATTAATTTGTAAATTTGTTACCTTCTAAACTAAACAGCTCCCTAACTTACCATATCTCTGCCACTTAAATAGATACACACATAATTTTATTTGTATGCCACCTTTCCGTAGTTCAAACTATGCTCAAGGCAGCTAACAACATGAAAAAATACATAATTACAAACCCTAACAATAGTAGTTATAAAGAATAAATAAAACATTGAACGTACAAATTAAATTGTTTCCACATAAATCATATTAAGTTATGAAATAAAGATACAAAAATTAATATAAATAACAGCACCCCCCCAAAACACACTACTCTAGTCCATGAGTCTTTTCAGTAGCCTTAGCTTTTGTAGCTGGAGTCAGTCAAGGGCCTGCCCACCAAGGCCAGGTAGATAAAGCAATTCTAGTCAATTCAGATATTGCGAAATTGAGCAGCTATAGAAAAACCAATACAAATGCCAAGTCTTATCAGGGAAGTTCTAGTAACATGCCCTTTGCTGTGCCCCCACACTCTCTTTTTTGTTGTTAACAAGTTGCTCTCAGGATTTCTGCTGGAGGGCAAACATTGTTTCAAGATAGAACATACTAAAGAAACTTCCAAAAGAAACGCCTTTTTTTTTTTAACATAAACTGAAGACAGTTACAAGAAACAACGAATAAGAGGCAATCACCTACATAGAATATATATATATATCCTTGTCTTTTAGGCATGCTTGACACTACAATCCTGCACATGTTTACACAGAAGCAATTCCTCCTGTGTTTGATAGTAGTAATGAGATTCGCAACCCACTTAAATGGGTGTACTTCGCTTTGCTGTCAAACTCCTAATGTAAGGAAAACTATACCTTTCAACCTGCTATGCAAATCCCAGTAAATTATTGGCTTGGTTTAATCAGACAGAATAGTCGCAGGAGTAAGTTCCTCTGAGTGAAGCCTGGTGACTCAGCTCCAAAAGTAAAAGTGAGTGAGAAAGGATAGGTTACGTTAAAAATAAAAAAGTGAAATTGTCTACCTTACACTGAGTTTTATAGATGATGAGGGAGAACTTTGGTTCCTGGGCATGAGCAGCAAATGGAGACAGAGGAAAAAATGTTCAAAATCTAGCCATTTTGATAAAGCTTTGGTGAGGAGAACCCAAGGATACAATCTGATAGGATTCTGTGTTAGATACTGCATGTATGCAGAAGCTGCAGGGCTGGTTCAAGACATTCTGCTGCCTGAGGTAAAGGACAAGATGGTGCTTTCCTCTATTCCAGATACAGAAGCTGCCCAGATTTGTAGCTTCAGCTTTTTGAAGGAACAGCACCTTCCACTGCTGCTGAGTGCAGCAGGCTAGCTTAGACAATGCAGGGAAAGGTGCATGGCACACCTAACTCAGTCCATTCCCCACCCCTCAGCAGCCTTACTCTGTCTCATGGTAGGACTGCCAATGCATGGGGGGCGTGGTACGTAGCATACTGAAATGGCTTAACTTTGAGGAGACATGTCTCTTCGTTTCCTCTCAAACGCTACATAGAATCATGCGAAATGCTGGTTATATTATTATTGTTTGCTTTGGTGTCTACAGCTGAACAGTGTCCCGGGCAGAAAAAAGGAAACAGAGTTTTGGGATTTCATTACAACTGCCTTTTCCCTACTCCATTTTCCCATGCATTCCTATCCCTTCTTGTCCACTGAATTTAGGTTGCTGTAGGCACAGACTGCATCATGTCAACTGTTGTTTTTCAATAAGTATATTCCAGTAAGTCCTGTTCTTCCAAGTACATGCATATTAAAAATCTACTGATGCAGTAACGATGAATACGATAGCTCAGTCTCATTAACTTACATTAAACTAATTTAAATACACAGGCATAAGTGATTTTTTTCCTGTGCACAGTCTAATTATTTATTTTGGTACATTGGACAAAGTGATTTTGGAATTACATACTAATTTATGCTTACAATTTTCTACAAAAAAGCTTATTCAGATAAGCTTAACTTTTGCTTCATCTTTTACTACTGTATGCAAGTTGAGAGACTGTAATAGGTCTCCTTTGGGTGACTAGCAGATTGCACAGGAGCATTGGTAGAAGATTTAGTTCAAGTTCAAGTTTATTGCGGCCAAAGCCAGTGACACTAGACACCATAAGATCAGACAACAAAAAATCAGCAACAACTTCAGAAAAGAAAAAAGGTTACACAAGAGAACTTCACAGTGTGCCATTCAACAGAAGAGATTTACGCTTCTTAATTACTAAAGTGCAAAATTTAGCCACCTCATATGATACTGAGCTTGAGGAATCTTCCAGGAGGTATTTTCGAAGAATTTCAGGGGAGGATTCCAAATAATATTGAAGGGGTATAAATTTTGATAGAAGCGGTAAAATAAGTTGAACTCGTTCTTCACTATAGAATTCGCAAGATAGAAGAATGTGTGTGACAGATTCTACCTTATTAGACATACAAGGGCAGAGACGCGCATGCATTGGAACTCGCGTGAATTTGCCGTACAGCACTGCTGAGGGCATTGTCTCAAAGCGGGCTCTAGAGAAAGCCCATCTATAGGTTTCGTTAGTGATGTTAGTTAAGTAAGGGCAGCTGCAAAATTAGGCCAAGCTTTTAAACATCTATACGTCTCTGGGAGTAGGGCGCCTTCTTGTTGTAATTCGATATCATAAAGTCTCCGAGTGATAGTAGCTTTTGCCTTGTTCAGAGTTCCAATAAAAATATTTTCAGGGTTTAGGCCAATTTGTTTGATCTTGTTAGTTATTTGCATAAGCCAAGGAGGATAGGGAACTGCGGCCAGGAAGCAAGGTAATAGACCCTTAGGATTGTAATGGATTTTCAGCCAGAGGGATATTGCTTGTTCCCATACTTTTAATTCCACTCTGGGCAGTCCTGCCTCTTGCCTTAAAACTGCATTAGGTGTACACTTAGGAGTAGCAAATAATGATCTTAAGAATTTAGATTGTACTGTTTCAAGGGTCTTAAGGTTGGCAGAGGGGCTAATTTGAGAGCCATATAGAAGTTGGGCTAAAGATTTTGCCTGAAAGACTGTTAGGGCCATCGGGAGGAAGCCAGCTCCTTTCCTTCTGAATAATCTAAGGATAGCATTTGCACTTCTTTCTGCTGATATAGCTGATGTGGTCAAGTGTGTTGAGAATTTGGCATTATAAGAGAAAGTAATGCCTAAGTATTGGAAGGTCTTAGTCTGTTCAATGGCGTTTCCCTTTACGCTCCAATTATCCTTCCTAAAGGAGCGGTTAAAATGTACAATTTTGGTTTTGGCAAAGTTAATTGTTAACAGTAAGTATTCCAGTATTCCAGTAAGTCCTGTTCTTCCAAGTACATGCATATTAAAAATCAGTAGCAGTAACGATGAATACGATAGCTCAGTCTCATTAACTTACATTAAACTAATTTAAATACACAGGCATAAGTGATTTTTTCCTGTGCACAGTCTAATTATTTATTTTGGTACATTGGACAAAGTGATTTTGGAATTACATACTAATTTATGCTTACAATTTTCTACAAAAAAGCTTATTCAGATAAGCTTAACTTTTGCTTCATCTTTTACTACTGTATGCAAGTTGAGAGACTGTAATAGGTCTCCTTTGGGTGACTAGCAGATTGCACAGGAGCATTGGTAGAAGATTTAAAAAATGTCAGCCTCAGGCATTTTCACCTTTGTAAATTTAATCATGTATATATTATTCAGAAGGGACAACTTGTTTTTATTGGTAAACTTAACACAGAGGATAATTGATTAACCTTGACAGTTTTAAATGCACATCTAATTGTGTTACTGTCTTTTGAAATTAAAAAAGTTGATGGAGTGGCTCACAGCTCTCAAGTGGGATGGATGACTGATGATCCATTCTAGATTGCAAAAAGTTGTTCTCAGGCAGTTATTCTTGGTAAAATTAGGGAAACTTTTTACTGGTGCATGAAACCTACAGTGAGGGGGTTTACCCACTCTCCCAGAGCTGTGGCTTCAAAATAAAATTGCACACTTACACAAAGCCCATGCTGGCAACTCATGCTTTCCTGGAATCCTTGACAGAGTAAATTAGATTAGATGATCTGAACAGCTGTAGACAACTATGCACCTAGCAGCATATCATGAAAAGATAACGCTCAAGCAGATCTTAAAGTAACGTAATGGCCAATTGCTCAATTACATGGTTGTGGGTTAAAAATGTCACCAAACTATTTTCTAGGTAGGAACATTGCTTCCGATACAGTGGTACCTCGGATTAAGAACTTAATTCGTTCTGGAGGTCCGTTCTTAATCTGAAACTGTTCTTAACCTGAGGTACCACTTTAGCTAATGGGGCCTCCCGCTGCTGCTGTGCCGCCACCACACGATTTCTGTTCTCATCCTGAAGCAAAGTTCTTAACCCGAGGTACTATTTCTGGGTTAGCGGAGTCTGTAACCTGAAGCATCTGTAACCCGAGGACCACTCTACTATACAAGACTTCTAGTACAAACATATTTGTCCATTTACTAGTTATTATTTATTAAGTCCATTTATACAGTCGGAAGTGTAGATTTTGGCGAATTTCCTAGCTCAAAAACTACTTTTCACTTTTTGAAATATGGCAACCCTATTTATATTTACTTGGAAGTGAGTTCAATAGGACTTGTTCCTACATAAGTGAGCATATACACACTTACCTAGGATTAACCCCACTGAAGTCAATGAAGCTTACTTCTAAGTAGGCACAGGATTGTGCTATTAGTCATCTAGTGCAGTGACTGAGATTGAGCTATGAACCTAGAAGTCTATGGTTCAAACATCTCATTTGTCATGAAATCACCAGATAGCCTTGGACAAGCTTCTTTCTTTTATCCTCGGCCACTAACCCCACTGTAGAGATACCATTACTGACCTACATACCTTACAAGGTTGTTATAAGAGTTACAAGAATCCATTGTTGCCACGGTGGTCCATTGCAACAGTAACAATGAGTTGTGTGGCATCTATCAAATTTAAAGACTACTGAAGCTTTTGTGGGCTGTGGCCCACTTTAACAGATACATGAAATGCTATCATTAGTTGTCAGAAACATCTATAAGGGCCCAAAGGCCAGAAGACTGAAGAGATAAAGGAGGTTTGTGACATTACCAAGGGGATCTCAAGAGTATACAGAATTGGCAAGGTGATCATACCTGGTAGCAGTAACTGGTGATGAGAGAATTTTTGTAACTTAGGTATAGCAATTTAACACCTGTCCTGGGAAGCAAAATTCTTGAAACTGATTAATATCTAATATGTATGGGAAGTGCTTTGAACACTCAGAAGTGCTAATGATATGTTATGCATTATTATTATTAATTATTATTATTATTATTACCACTACTGCTACTAACTACTTTGCCAAATCTGTACCCATTAATGTGTCAAAAGTGATGTATCAGTCAAATCAGGATCAGAACTACGATGGAGACAACCCAGGTAGCAATCTAGAACCCATCTCATGGCAAGGAGGATCAAGGGTCCTTCTAAAAGGGCCCTTGCTTGTTGCTGGTGTAGAATGACTGCTAGTCAACTTTTCCCAGGGTGTTATAGACTGCAACTCTTGGGGAAAACCCCTGACTCAGTCAGGGGACAGAGATGCAGTTAGACCATGATGTGCACTGGCACTACCAATGTTCTGCCAAATTTGTTGCAGCAGGCCAGATGCAACCAGATGCCAGGCAGAGCAGAGAATGAGCAGTGGTGAGGTGTTCTGCCAGCCCTGCCATACTATAGCAGTTGCAGAACTAAATCATGCTATTCGACATACCTCTTTTGTCAGCTGAGAAAGAAAAAGAATGAACCAGAAGTTGCTCCTGGCAATACTAGCAGTATAATACAATATTGCAGACTTTAAAAAAAAAAATGTGCAAGAGAAGATAGATTTGCAACAATGGAAGGGATTAAGGAATCTCCCATAATAGGAGTGGAGCACTTTCTGCAACAGAGGCCTGCTACAACATAATGAATTATTGTAGAAGTTTTCATCACATCAGAAGCCAATATGCTTGCCCAAGACCTGAAGCCAACCATCTAGAAACATGTGTCACATCAATGGTATATTGATCAAAGTAGCTGTCTGAAAGCAAAATAGAGATTTCATTTGCAATAAAATAAGCCATGCAACTAATTGCTAGGGAAGAGAGTTTGTTTCTGACTTTTAACCAGCATCTTTGGCTCTTCCTCACTGCCCAAATCATTTCATTGTTCTGATGAGAATATTTCACAAATTTGGACGTGCCAAATTAAAACTGGTGTTCTGCTAAACTTCCACAGGTGGTGGTAGAGGATTTACCCTGCCTTATGAAATCCATAAAACTTAAGTTTTGAAATGTGTAAAAGCTAGTGCATCCTAATAGCTTCCCATAAACGTATGACTGGCCACTATGGAAACAGGATGTGGACTCAATAGAGATTTTACAGATCAAAACAGGGTATACTTCTTTTGCACATGAGTGGGGAAGGAGAGTCTGGAGATGCCACAGGCAATAAGTAAAGGATAAAATCACATACAAGCTGATGGCTCCAGATGACAAAAGCACTGAGGCAAGCCAGGCAGGAAATTCTTAAACAGAAATAACAACTAAGTAATAACAAAGTAAAGAGAGCAATGTTCTCATGCACCTTTGCCACTTCTGCTGCAGATTCAGCACTGCAAAGATCTTGCCTCCCACGTGGGCAGGGCTCCAAGCCTGGCTGCTTCCTTGCAGAAGCTACCATGGGGTGGAGAAGGCAGCAGTGGCAGGATGTGTAGGCCCCACCCAGCCAACCCCCTACTCCAGCTCAGCTATGTCAGCCCCCAGAGTCGTCCCACCCAGAGCTGGGTGACAGGTTTGCCTTCCACTGTTGACTTGCCTCAGGTAGCAAAATGTTTTGGGCTGGTCCTGGTAAGCTGCATGCTCCACTTGCATAAGGCTCGTCAACATGGTGCCCTCCAGATGTTGTGGTCCCCAGCACCCATAATCTCTGACCAATGTTAGCTTGGGCTGATGGGAACTGGAATCTAAAATACCTGGAAGGTGCCACATTGGATACCCCAGCTAGCAGAAGGGCAACATGCACATCTATTTATCAGGTACAGTATGTGTTGATCTGAAAGGTTAAAGAGTGGAATATCAGGTCAACACACCTTTTCATGCTAATCAACGGCTCAGGGTGGGGGAAAAAAGAACTTTTGATACTATTGAAAAGAATTCAGCAGTTAAGAATGCTTTTTCATCCAATTAACAACATGCCTTAGTTGAAAAACTGCTGCAGAGAACCAGAAGTATTGAAAGACATAGCTGCTTGACAAATGGGGATTTTCAAGATTACTCACTAGGCATCCACTGTTAACTGCTGACAGGATTGGCAGTGCTAATGCAGACATTAAGAAAAAAAACAAAAGGCTGACTTGCAAAGGTCATTATTAGCATATCATCAAAGGCTGTGTATCTGACTATCCTTGTGACTGCAGTAGAACAGATTTAATCCCTCTAAAAGCAAGCTAAACCAATTATGTCAGAAGGTCTGTCTTATGTCAATTAGATGCAAAACAAAAATGGCTGCCGCAGTTTAGACAGCTCATAAATGGAAGAACATACTAAGAGATACTAAAGGCAATCTTTGCAAAAACATAATGAGATACAATCTAACCTTAATATCAGCACAGCAATACCATCCCATATGTAGGGTAAGGAGTTGCAATGTACAGTGGTACCTCGCAAGACGAATGCCTCGCAAGACAAAAAACTCGTTAGACGAAAGGGTTTTTTGTTTTTTGAGCTGCTTCGCAAGACGATTTTCCCTATGGGCTTGCTTCGCAAGACGGAAACGTCTTGCAAGTTTGTTTCCTTTTCTTAACACCGTTAATACAGTTGCAACTTGACTTCGAGGAGCAACTCATAGAACGCGGTGTGGTAGCCTTGTTTGAGGTTTTTAAAGACTTTGGTGATTTTTGAAGCTTTTCCAAAACTTTCCCGACACCGTGCTTCGCAAGAGGAAAAAAATCGCAAGACGACAAAACTCGCGGAACAAATTAATTTCGTCTTGCGAGGCACCACTGTAGTATGGCTGGGGGGTAGCATAACTCTCACACAGTCAACTGACACATAATTCTTAATGGAAATATTGTCAAATAGACTATCATTTCAGCTCCCGTCTTTCTACTTTCCAACACTAGCCCTCTCATTTGAGACCTACCAAGATTTAAAAGTGTTCCTGTCCTTCCAGTTTCCCATTATCTAAATGCCAGAATTTATTGCTAGTTATGCACGAACAATCCAAAGATTTTGGGTCAGGGAAAAAAAATGTGTAAAAAATAAATAAGTACAAAACAACTTTTCAGAGGTAGTCTGGCAGAATCCTCAGTGGTGTGCTATGCAGTAAAATATTTTTCTTGTCTTTCACTGAAGGCCCTTTATTTTACTTCAGTATTAGCATTAGATAAGAATATAAAGTTGGAAATGCACAACCATTCCCTTCATCTATTTTTACAGTCCTTTCAAGGTGCTAAACATTTACCACCTTGCTAAATAACTGCAGTTCTGACAAGTTTGTTTGTCTCTTGGCAATTTCTTCTCAGCAGACTTTTGCAGAAAAGTTTTTGCAATAAAGGGTCTTACGAGACAATGATTAACTCCAAATCATGTTTTGAAAACATTTTAAGGGGTGTGAATGGCCATAAAAGCCCCTAGCGCCTTTCCCTAAAGCACAAAAGACTCCAAAGCAACACAGCATCATGGGGAGAAAGCTCATCTCCTTAGTATAACATAGAAGAACCAGAAAGAGGTTTCCCACCTGCATTTAACAAGCCATAGCTGTTAAGCACATATGCAAAGTGTATTGCCATGTGTTACCATAGCAACATGCATAAGCATACAATTCTAAGAGGGGAAAGTGGTCACTTTTATGCTAATGTGGTATGGTGAAGTAGAAAGGGAGTCACTCTGGTAATATGAGGTGACATATGTGTCAACTTTTGTAGTGGGGGCTACTGTGTGGAGAAAAGAAGAGCAGCTGGACCAACAAATGCTTTACAACAACACAAACGTTTCACCTGGACACTCGAGATGGCATATTGTTAAGGACAGCCAATTTGGTGTCAATGGAGAAATGTTGATACTCTCAGGCCCAGTTTATTGTATAAACGGCAAGGGAAACTTTACCACTTTACCCTTTCTAACTTTCAGGATAAAGTGGTAAAGGTTTCCTTGCAAAGGACCACTTCAGCCTGCAGGTGGAACATCACATATCAAAATGCTTCCCCACTAGAAAATTCCTTGCACATGGAAAATAGCGTATGGGTTAAGAAGACTAGGCTGAACACTTCACCACAATATGATAGTTTTCTGTGTGCAAGGAAGTTTTAAAATACTGTTGAACCTCACATATATTTACACATGACCCACAATTTTCTCATTCTCTTGAAAAGTTCACTGAAATTACACAATGCTGTCTTATATTTATCTAGTTCCCTGAAGCCTTTGGTCACTGAATAGATGCTTTCAAATGTGCATCATCTGTATTATATGATTGCAGCTAAGCTACCTAATGCGAAGCGAGACAGTCCATCAAAATTCACATTGCAAGGAGGCTGACAGTGATATGAAAGACAGAGAGATGCATATGCCGCACCTCGGTTTTAGCTTCAAAACTGTAAAATGAAATTCTTTCCAAGACACACTCCATCACAATGTTGATTCACTAAGACGTCTGAGAACTGCCTTAGCAACAGGGCTTCCCATCCAAGAAGCTCTGATTCAAGAATCCCATTTGTCTTCCACTGCTCTTACCAATGTCATATAAATGTCACAACAATCCATTTTGCGTGGGTCAAAAGTTCCAAACAAGTACCAGAAAAAGGTTGTTCACATGTGCCACAATTCCTCTAATAAACATGTACAGCTATGAACAATAAAAATCCAGTGCAGAACACCTTAGATCAAATCCAACAATGAACACACATTTGTCATGAAAGGAAAGCTATTTGATTTTCACAATGTTAAACCATGAAACAGTAACAGTTGGCTTGTACCATCAGTTAATTTGATTAATGTGCAGAGCAGAGAGTAGTTTCATTTATGTTTATGTTTACTCTGATAAGAGAACAAAGGTATGTCTATTCAGCTTACAAATTAATGACACAGACAAAAACTGTTTAAGAACACACACACAGTTAAAGACTTTTCACAAATCACATTTTGTCTCGCTTTAAGTGGGATCCTACCAGATTAATTAGGTACATAGAATCACCTCCCATCTTATTCCAAAGCATGTCTACTGGAAAGCAGGAACAACTGGGTTAAACAGGAAATATTTCCTAGTATGTAGACTTAATATTGTAGCCAAAATACCAGTGAATTAATGCAATGTACTGCAGAATGTTATGCATATTTACTTTGAAGTAAGTATCACTATCTTCAGTGGGACTTCCTCCTAGGTTGGCATGCCTAACACTGCAATTCTGGCCTGCAATTCTAAGCACTGTAATTATATATTTACAGATGACCCTGTAGCAAAACAACAAAACATTACAGTGTGGAATGCTGCTCCATTTCACCCCAGCCTGTTTTAAATTCTCTTCCTCTTTCTTTCTGCTCCCAAAGCTACCAATCCATGCTGCCTGAGCATGCTCTGCCCTCACGGGGCTGTTTAGAGATATTTTTTTCCACCGAGGGTGGGTGGAGTGGCCACATGGCTGCCAACAAGGAGCTCAAGGCAGTATAGATGGTTCACTTCCTTCAACTATATTCTTCCAACAACCCTGTCTTATAGGCTGAGCTGAGAGACAATAGGTGGCTCAAGGTCATTCTGTGAACTTGATAGCTAAGTAGTGATTTGAACCTGGGGGCTTCCTAATCCCACTCTGATGCTGTAGCCACCATATCACACTTGCTCTCTACTTAAAAGGAAGTACTGAGACCCACCAAATTCAGTGTGAATTTTTATGAGTAAACATGCATAGGATTGTGCCGTAAAGTACAAAGTTAAGCAAATGGAGGTGCATCTGACTCTGCCTGTATTGTGCCCAGTGAATCTAGGGGAGCCCATATCTTGAAGCAAGCTTTGCTTTCCAGCTCCCAACATACTGAATTATAATACCGTCATTGTAATGTACTGCTATGTTGTTGTGGCATTACAGTTAAATCAAGCTGTCTCATGCAATAAAATACAAAGTGGGAAATCTGATAAACAGCTTCCCCAAAAGGTCAAAGTTAATGGGTTTTTACTCAGAAGAATAACACTGAGCAAAAAAAGATGTTTTCAGCATTAGTTATCTGGCAAACTACAGAAACAATGCACCAAATCAGCCATGCTATTTTAGGAAAAGGACATAGGAGACTCCTAAACCTTCTTTTGCCCTTGGTATAAAATATATCAGACATTGGATAAAAACAAATGAACAGAGCAATCTTACCAGGGACACCTAATTGAACACATAGTTCTCAAGCAAATCATAGTAATATGATTTTTTTCCCCATAGAAAAGAGTGATTTTGTTCTGATTTATATGAGAGAACTATACTGCGCAAGTGGTGAAGGTATTTGTCTTACCTCTGTCACTGAAGTCATCCACGAGAATGATTTCTGCTATTAGGCTACTTGGAGTCCTGTTGATAATGCTGTGTATGGTTCGCAAGAGTGAAGTCCAACCTTCATTATGAAATGGGATGATTATGCTAGTGTTTGGAAGCTTCTCCAAGTATACCTTGTGCTTACAGCTGAGGACAGGAAAGAAAAAAGACCATGTAAGAATATGATAAAGACAGGTTTGGCACCTTTCAAATATTATTTCTTATAGAAGAAATCGGGAGAGCAAATGTTCAAACAGTTCAAATGCCTTTTACTGTGGGTACCCTCCGACATTAATCTGTCTGTCTTGGCCATCAATATCGTGGCATACACTTCGTACTGGAAAGCAGATCAAGTCTTTTGCTATAATCGATAGATGACATTTTAAGAGAAATTCCCTCTTTTAAAGGAATGCTTTATATTTCGCACAGTAAAGAAAAAACCCCCACCCAATTCTATGCATGCTTACTGGAAAGTATGTCCTATTGAGTTCAATAGGGAATTACTCCCAAGTAAGTGTGAATAAGAATGCAGACATAAATCCAGTGTTCCTTATTTCTGATATTCACAACTATCATTTTAGATAAATATATTGATGCCAGTACTTCCCAGCTGCCCATAACCTAGCAATCACTGTACTAATCCATTCCTTTGTTGGTTACTCATGGGTATTTGTATCCTATTCTTACATAAAGGACTGGTTTATCTGCCATTTTAAAATAGATATAAAATGCAAAGTAAAGAGATACTAAATAAAATATATGGCCAGTTCAACAATCAGTTTTGGAATTTAATTAACCAGTGAGAAATGGAACTCTGCAATTTTAGTATGGTCCACAATATGACACTACTTTGGTCATTCTTAATTATCAGAATTATTCAACAGGAAGGAAGAGGTTTAGAACACATTTTTTCCCCTGGATTTCATGAATCAAAGCCAACATCTACTGTTTGTCTTCAAATATCTCCTTCAGTTCCTCTTTTAGTTCATTCATATTCAAAAGCATAGAGAGAGCTAATGCAACTCAAGCAATGCAGCTAAACACTCAGGATAATCAGCACCATTAAATGTAAAGTGTAACTGCAAATATGCCTCTGGAGAGAAAAGCTTCTATCAGCAGGCAAGTGCAAGTGAACATTCAAATGGAAATGGAAAGACATAAAGGTATTTTATGAACTTCTTAATTAGACACCAACTGCATTTATATAATGCCAGCTACAAAATTACATACTTAAAAGTTCATCATTTTACAAAAAAATAACATACAAAGACTTCAGTAGTGCATCAACTATGAAACTAAGCAATGATCAAAGAGTGGCTATTCATTATTTGTAATGGGCTACAAAATTAATTGCATACAGGTCAGCTGGTCAAACACTGACATTCAGTAGATGGACTGCTATGGACTGCTGGACAGTTTCTCCTGACATTTCAAAAGATTTCAGAAGCCCACTCCGCAATAACTCAGAGAAGGGTTTTTCTTTTTTCTTTTTCAATAATATTTTTTATTAATTTTAACATATAAATTATAAAATGTACCACAAAACTTATCACTTATACAATCTTTTTGGACTTCCATCAGCACCTCTGATGATCCACCATTTTAACCACTTCTTATGCATTTCTTAACTTTATATTGCCTTTACATCTCTTAACAAATCCTCCCCCGTGTCCATTTTTACAATACTTCTAATAATACTCCTCACAAAACTTCTTGCAACCCTACAAACGTTGTCTCTTCTTCACAATTACTTTTCAAATAGTCCGTAAATTTACTCCAGTCTTCCGTGAATTTCTGGTCTCGCCGGTTTTGAATCGTTCCTGTTAGTTTATCTAATTCTGCATAGTCCATTAACTTCATCCTCTACTCTTCAATCGACTGTAACTCTTCTTGCTTCCATTTTTGGGCCAATAATATTCTTGCTGCTGTTATTGCATATAAAAATACCTTACATTCCTTTCTATTTATATCACTCCCCACAATGCCCGATAGAAATGCTTCTGGTTTCTTTATAAATGTGTATTTCAACATTTTTTTCAACTCATTATATATCATCTCGCAGAAGCATTTCACCTTTTTACATTCCCACCACATGTGATAAAATGTTCCCTCTTTTTCTTTACATTTCCAACATTTATTACTGACTTTATACATTTTCACTAACTTAACAGGTGTAATATACCATCTATCAGAGAAGGGTTTTTCATGTGGCTGCCTCTCTTCTGTGGAATAGCATTCCTGTTGAGCTACAAACAGGTACCCACTATCTGCACTTTCTGAAATACATTTTTGTCCCGACAGCTTTCCCAGCTGGATAAATGGGTCTTTATCATGCGTGTCTACACTGTGCACTTTGAGTTCTGTTTTAAATGTATTTTCTGTTTTTGTGTTTTTAACTGTTTTCAGCGTACAGCACTAATATGAATGAGAATTCAATAGCTGCACAACGACTGATTTACTTTTAGTAACCTATGTTAATGTAGAGAAAGAAAGAAAATGGTACTCATTCATTGTTTCTGCCTAACTTGCAGCCAGGAAGTTTAGCTGCATCTGATGAATATCTTGCACTTAAGCTGCCTCAGCATATCATGTTCCAAAATGATCAGGCACCAGGAACTTCATGGAAGTACCTGTGGGACAAATTAGACCTGGGTCCAATAGACTCACACCGTTACTTGGTCCCAATACTACTGTCCAGGCCAGTTTTCAATACTACTCTCCAAGCCAATGAAAGCAGAATATAATTTCTTTGAGATTTTGGAGGCCTAGTAAGAATTTCAAGGCAACTGGTAGTGTGGTGAAACTGTGCCTTCCATTTGAGCTTTGAAGGAATTCTTCCAATTTCTGTGGGAATCCATGGCCTGATTTGACAAATTCCATGCCACACAAGCAAACTTCTTAAGCACGCATTAAATTCTGATACACCCAACTGTACAACAGTTAATACAATGGGCAGGATTAAATACAGTGGAACCTTGGGTTGCGAACGTGTTCCATGCGGGAGGCAGTTTGCAACCCGCACCGTCCGCAACCCACAGCGCCACGTCTGAGCACGTGGGGTCGTGATTCAGCACTTCTGTGCATGCACAAAGCGTGATTTAGCGTTTCTGCGCAAGCATGAGCACCAAAAGCTGGACATAACCCGTTCCGGTACTTCTGGGTTCGGAGTGGTGCACAATCCAAAATTGCATAACCTGAAGCGCCTGTAACCCAAGGTACCACTGGAGTGTATTCGAAGACTAAATCTAGGGACTACATTTCCCAGCAGCCCCTTCTGTGAACTGATTCTGACTTGGATAAAGAAAAAAGTTAAAAGGAAGGGAAAGCAGAAAAACTGGGTAGATACTTACTAGCCAGTCAAAAACAAAGGTAGTCATAAACCTGAAACTATTGTTACATAAACTGACTGTGTTTGAAATACCTTGAAAAAAGAAAGGTTTGAACCTAGGGAGGCTCATGGTTGAACTGACAAACACAGAAAGATTATTAAATAGTTGACAATACATTTTGAATCCGGTTTTTATGAGCCACAGCATGGGTGACTGCACACTTTCCTGTTTAATCAACTTTATCAAAGCATCTGTTGTTAGATCGCTAGAATCCGCAAGCACAAAGGTTAGGGTTAGGCTGCTGACCTTGAGCTTCCCTCAGTGCTTGCTTCCAGTCCCGGCTGTACAGGAAAACAACTGGTTTACACTCTCATTGCAACAGCTTGCTAATATGAGAAAGTAGAAGAACAGGAAGGTTTTTCTTTTAACTGTCTGCAAAAAGGTACTAAGCTGATTATCACTAGAAAGCTAGACCATAATTGGTATTAAAAATATCTCATGACATACAGGTCTATCTAATTAAGAATTAAATAATATAAAAATAATAAAGAGCATTTGGTAGGGATGAGCAAAGCAAATATTATTAGCAAAGAAGCTTGTGAAAAATTGTCAGTTTTGATCTTTCATTCCATGGAGCATGGCACATCAGTCAAAAGGTGTCAGATAACTGGCAGCTCATACATTTTATGAATTTAATCTGACTTCTCTCTATAGAAAAGGTGTTATATTTATTCTGTGTGAATAAAGAGAAACATTATGCAGATCCATATATATATATCGCGTTATTCTTTTTCTTTTTTAAAAACCACCTCAGTAATTATGGTAAACCCCACACTAATTAAGGAGATAAAAATAGATAGGATTTTTATTCTGATGATCACTTTTAATATTTATCAACCAAATGCAACATTCTGCAATTAAGAGACAAATAATGTTAATGTCTAGCTGGATGAGGAATTGTACATGGAATCCATCATCCAATGGCATGGGGTCTGTTTGATATGTTAAACAGCACCAACTATTTGGGTTGGAAAGCTGGTTTGCGTTATTATATTTTTATCCTGCCTTTCCTGCAAGGAGCTCTGGACAGGGTACATGGTTCTCCTACTTTACCCTCACAACGATCTTGTGAAGATCAGGCTAAGAGATAGTGATGGACCCAAGGTCTACCACATGAGCTTCACGGTTGAGTAGAGATGTGAATCCAGGTATATCCCAATCGTAGTCTAACACATTAACCACTATACTGCTCTGGTTTAGTCCACATTGCTCTTACCTGTCTCACCAGGTTCACAATATTTAACCAGAACAGATCTAGCAACTCAGTGTGGAAAGGTTTGCAATGAGATCCAAATGTAACAAAAGCACAAAAATACAGTACTCCTGCTGGCTCGCACCAAAAGACCACCTAGTCTACGTGTTGCTTCTCACAGTGGCCAAAAAAGATGCCTCCAGGAAGACCACAAGCAAGGCATTACAGCAATAGCTCTTTGTTGTTCTTTGCTGTTCCCCAAGCAGTTGGCACTCATGGTCATACTGTTCCTTCTGAACTTCGCTGTGTTGCATACAGCCACAATGATTAGCGGTCATGGATAAATGGATTATCAATGAATTTATCTAATCCCCTTATAAAGCCATTTAAGCTAGTGACCATCACCAATTCTTGTCGCCAATTCAAGGCTTAGTTTCTCACACAGTGCATAGTTTGTTCTGAATCTCTTGATAAAACGGCATCATTAGATTATCCCAAGTTATAGTATTTTGGGGGGGAGGGGACTCTATCCCCTTTCTCCATGCTGTGCATAACTTTATAAACCTCTTATTCACACCCCCTTTCCCTACTGTCTTTTTTCCACCTCAACTAAAACAATGGACATTCTGTGCCCCTATCATCTGCCCTCACCCTGATTTCTGTGTGCCAGCACATGCAGCGGAGTCCTTGCAAACCAAAATCGTTTCACTTGCTACTATTTTTCCTTCTTTAGATAATGGGAGAAAAACCATGCAGACATTGCAGAAGGTGTGGCTAAGTTCAGGAGTCAGTAATATTATTAACAATGCTACCTGAACAAACGCAGGGACTGCTTAGTGAGGTCAAAATTTTGTAGATCAAATCATGTTAGCTAGTAAGCCTTAGGGCTGGGCGATATCAGCTTTTCAACATCGTGGTATATCACCAGCCAAACATTGTGGTCTAGCAATGTACCACAATGTTGAAAAAACAAGCTGCATCAGCCTCAGCCTGCGAGGCACCGGGTGAAATTGCCACAGCTTGTTTGTATGACTCAGCTGGGATGTAGGAGGGCTCCCGATCCCCAGCTGAGCCATCCGTGGTGCTCCCCCTGCTCATGGACAATTGGGGAGAGCATCGGGGCTTTTTTGTGTGGCTGTCCTGGGGATCAGGAGGGCTTCTGATCCCCAGCAGAACCAACCCTGGTGCTCCCCTCCTTGTGGTTGAGCGGAATGGGGCGTGAGCATCGGGGTGCTGTGCTCTGCTAGGGATCAGGAGCCCTGCCCATCCCCAGCAGAGCCATCCACGGTGCTTGCCCTGCTTGTGCAGGAGCCAGCACCGGGCTGGGGGATCCTTTAACTGCTCAGCAACTGCACACTCCTCGGCTGAGCAGTTTAAAGATGCAGAGGGAGGAACAAGCTGTATCGGCGCCTTGTCGATGCAGCTTTATTGTCCCTCTGCGCAGTATGAAGGCAGAGTGGGATGGTCGTTACACTCAGTGATATATCGCTGGTGAAACTGCCACTGCTCCTCAGTCCCTCTGCTAGCAACGCTCACTGGAGGAAGTCACTCGCAGAGGGACTCAGGAGTTGTGGCTGGTGGTTTCACCAGTGATACTCCGCTGAGTGAAGCTGACATCGCGGTCTGCTCCTCATACTGGGTCCTGGGCGATGTATTGATATATCGCCCAGGCCTAGTAAGCCTAGGATTGTTCCCCCCCCCCCCCACACAACAGCTTTATCAAAAACACCATATTAACCTTCAGGCACAGACCAACTTTAATGTATTTCAACTTTACAGGTAAAACTTTGAGAAAGTTACTATGAGTGATTTCAATAGAAAGAGTTAGTATTAAATTCATACCTTTTCCTTTGCTGCAGTGGTTGTTATTGCTTCTAGTACGATAAACATGTGATTAATATTTTTTTTTCCATGTGGGAGATCATTCTACCTCAAGCAAGAAATGAGAAATTTTTAGGGCTATTGAGCGCTGCAAGTTTCCACAGTGAATGAAGAAGGTCATTTAGTACGGGCATCGCCAACTGTTATACATCTGAAAATATTCAGAGTTTCCACTGGACCTTTAAATTCCCCACTTATGTTCAATAGATAAGTAGGCTGCTATTTAATATAAGATGTAAAAATAATGCCTGGTCAAGCAGCTAAAGGATTCTGCGCCTACGTTCTATACTTCATTGGGCAGCAAAATAGCATCCTGTCCGTTTGGGATCATAATATGATTTAGCCAAGGAACAGCCAGGCTTGAATTAACTAAACTTTGCTCAACAACACAATTAAATGCTTTCTGACACAACTCTTGAGAAAACAAGTCACATGAGTTGGAATTCTTAACTATGCAATCATTAGGCAGTTGTATATCCACTAAATGGGCTGAAGGTGAACATTAGAAAGCACTACAACTGTCGGTGCAGAGTAGCACCAGGATTTAGTAGGCTGTGTGATACACCCATCTTTCGAAACAAATGCACAATTACATAAATTGTGTGAGCGCTTTGCCCTAGTGTCCTTATTAAGTAGTAGCTATCAACTAGCTTGTTTTCTTCTAAAGCAAATTCTTAGTGCACTGAAGCCCAATGGCAATTTAAACAAAACCCCACCAGCCTTTTTTGTGTGTTCCAAATCACATCAGATGCTTTTTCTCCTGAGTCTTCAGATATCTTTACCCTTGCAAATGTCTGCAAACCTGAAAGTTGGGGGAAGTATGGAAGGGGATAACTGGCAGAGAGATGATGAAGCATCAATCCATTTCTCTGCTCATAATGCCCCTTCCTATATCACTGCCCCTTCCATTGCTCCCCCCTTTTTTTTATAAAAGTGGTTCTGGAGATGCTTTTTAAAAATGTTATGGTGAGTACATGTGCCCTGAATTGTACCAGTTTCATTTCTATCTCTTTATCACCACATATCCAGACATTACATGTTGCTGAGTGTGTTTCACTTCCCCGCTATTCTATAAATAAATAAATACATACGGTAAATACAATCAGATCTAGACATCTAATCTATTCCTATACTATGAAGCATTCCTTAGTTTTCAAAAACATAAACCCCTTAAGAGATGAAAAGTGGGTTTTGCCATACCTGTTCCCTTTAACAACCTCCTGCCTTTTTTCCATCATGGAATCCAAGGTGGCATATATGTGGCTCTCAGGTAGGACTTTGAAATCTTTACTGCAGGTTTTCCTGTTCATTAAAAAAATACAGTGGTGCCCCGCAAGACGAATTCCTTGCAAGACGAAAAACTCACTAGACGAAAGGGTTTTGCATTTTTTGAGTCATTCCGCAAGACAAATTTCCCTATGGGCTTGCTTCGCAAGACAAAACATCTTGCGAGTTCTTGCGAGTTTGTTTCCTTTTTCTTAAAGCCACTAAGCCGTTAATAGCCGCTAAGCCGCTAATAGCCGCTAAGCCGCTAATAGCCGTGCTTCGCAAGACAAAAAAACCGCAAGACGAAGAGACTCGCGGAACGGATTAATTTCGTCTTGCGAGGCACCACTGTAACAATGCCAAAAAAATAACAATGCCAGAAGTGGCCTAAGAGCCAGGCTTCCTATAGATACATGTAATTGTCACTGTGCACAATGACTCGCCAAGGGCTGTGGCAATAAAACCCCTGTTCCGCACATCCTCCACAATCTGGAATATGGGGGTGGGGGCGCTAGGAGGAGAAGTAGTGGCAGGCAGCAAGTGGAAATATCATCACTTCTTTCAAAAAGCTATGCACTTTGCTACCCAACCACTTTTAATGAAGTGTCATTGTTTTTATTGACTGCCCGTAAGGCACTCTGGGAGGCTTGCTGCATAATGAGCAGGGTAATTAATACATAAATAACATACATTATGGCAACAATGATTTCATGAGTTATTCCTCACTATGGCAGTGCAAAGCCATGTTGGTGCTCTGACCCTACTGTGGCCCCCATTCCGAGATATCTTTGGGTTCCATTCTGAACAGGTAGCACTTAACAAGTTCTGCAGCAACCATTTATATAGTTCAGGATGCAAAAGCCAGTTAAAATAGCTTCCATGGAGCAACTGTGCTTTAGGATGTAAAACGTGTTTTCTGTACCTTTACATTTCCCTACAGTGTATTACTATTAAAAGAGAAAATGGTTTGTGTTCAAAATATCAACCTAAATAGGAATTTAATCATTACCACTGTAACTTCAGTGTAAACAATGTCCCTTTCTGATGTGCAGTTTCAAAATGACAACCTTTAGCAGCCCTTTGTACAAAAGTCTGCAGGAGAACATTTTGAAACAGCCTGAGCTTTTTAAATTATGAGAAAGGAGGGGAATGTTGGCACCATTTCAGTCAGTTTATAGAAAAAGCCAATTCATAAAAGCTGCAATTTGTTTGACCCCATGGTTATAGCAATAATATTTTATGCACATTACGGGAGTCCAGTGGCAGAACCTTGGCCAGCCACCAGATTTTATGCCTTCTAGACATATCAACAGGCTTGTAAACTGCTGTTCCTGATGGATGTCACAGAAGAAGTGAAATGCAGTGCAGGTTGTCTGCAGAAGCAAGAAAAAGAGAGAGAGAAGACTGTGCAGGAGCTCAAAGATGATAAAAGCAGACATCCCCCTTCTTACTTAAAAAAATCTTACAAAAGAGCATGCCACACAAAATCAGAACAAAAGGGGAAAGTGCAAGTTTCAGTTTTCCACTGAGTTTTCCATTCATAGCGGAGAATTTAAAAAGAAGAAAAAATAACTGACCTTTTCTCTCTCTTTATCAAGGAGACTACAATACCTACCTGACATCAAACTAGTGACAAGCATGCAACCGAAAAACACCAGCCTAAAACGTTTTCAAGCAAAGATTTACATAGTAATTGTCTCAGTGTGTCGAAGTATTCAATTTACAGCGGCTAGCTTCAGTCATACTGCATTCCTATTCCAATCTAGACTTGTCAGCTGAACTTGATAAAGCAGTGATAACCAGTAATTTCCACAACCGTTTGACAGGTCTGTAAAATTAGCTTGGAGGTGGGGAGAGGAGGGAAAGGAAAATAATTTCCAGTGACGATGGTGGCTCAAAACTTCAGAGTTTTCAGCAGGGAGATAAACATTACTGAATACATCTGAATCAGGCAGGAGGTTGAAATGTGAATATAAAGCCTAAAAGTCACTGGTTGTGCGAGAGAAACTAGACTGACCTGGTTCTTCGATCAGTTTCAAATGCCACAACTTAGGCTGCAATCCTATATACACTTACCTGGGAATAAATTTCATTAATCTCAGTGCAGTTTACTTCCAAGTAGGCATACACAGAACTGAAGTGAATTGGTTAGTGGATCATTGGTTAGTGCCAAGTTGCCAATTGTTTCTGTGGATTCTGTGTGTACTCTGCTAGGTCTGGCTAAGGTCCTGCAACTAGTCAGAAAGTTGTGAAACTCCAAATAGGTTTTACCAATAAGCTGAATGCGTGAAGGCAGGGAGTAAAACTCCGGGCATTTAATTGGCTCTTCTGCCCAGAGCCTATACATGTGCAAATTGTATGTGTGAATTGCAGAGGTTCTGTCCATGCAATCTACAACCCCGCAAAAAAGCTGCATTCCTGATCAGGCCAACAGTCTGCGTACACTGATTCTGTACCAAAGAGTCAAATAAAGCATGGCTATCAGGGCTATACTCTGACTGGTTGTATAAATAGGCCTGGAATGCTTGGAAATCTATAACCATGAACTGTGGGTTTTATTCCATGCAAATGTTGCCCACTGTATTCAGGACTTATATGAGTATTATAGTGCTCTTGGCAAGTTACAAAAGAACAGTGCAGTTCATGGTAGGAAAGCTGTTTACAAGGAAAGAACAAACACCATAGTGCTGATTTGCTCCCAATGCGACAGTGTTGACAATGCCCTGCCTCTGGGGATACTCTAAGAAATGCCATGGCCCATGTGGCTAGCAGTGAGTGAAAAACAAATTAGTGGCAGATATATTGACAAACACAACAGGGAAAAGTGGCAGTTCAGCCTCATTTTGTCCCTAATGATTTTCTGCATTGTTTCCAGTGGCACTGTTTTGAACACCAATAGAAATCAGGATATGATTTTGGAACAGAAGCTGTTGTGTGGTGCATATTTATCATGCCAACAATGCAACTTTAATGCTCTGTAATTATGTATTAAAATCCCATCTAACTGGAAAGATACTTGGCCAGGGGGAATTGCTGAAGATAATTTCAGGTGACCTGTGGATGGTTTTCCCAGCCAAAAGCCAAAGACAAAATATTTGAAACCGATTAGATAAAACCGAGTTAGTTCTTAGCATTAATCATATGCAAATCAACCCTTGGTTATAGAGATTAATGTAGGGATTTCCAAGGGCATGTTTAGCCTTTCTCAAATTAACTTTTAATATGTTTCTTTTAAAAATGAAATTAGCGTTGTGTCAACCCTCCCCGTCCCCCACAATAAATAGTATATAAATAAATAAATAAATATATGCTATATTAAGTGATCAACAGAGGACATAATCTACTGGAAATGTTTCCTGTGCAAGACCCACTGAAGTGAATCGGAGTACCATAAGAAAATGACACTGTCCCTGTGCAACTTCCTTTCATTTCAATGTGACTTCTTCATGAAAATAGCCAAGTGAATTAGACTCACTGACATCTTCACCTGTTTTTCCAAATAAGCTGTTCCAGATAAGCTGTTCCAGATAGATCCTAACTATTATAGTCAAGATTTTATTTTATCAGTGGTGCTCCCTTAACAAATGAAAATCTCACCCTCCTCCAATATTCTGTAAACACACAGTTTTTGTGAAAAGTAATCAGAAACCTCTCTGCACATTCTCCGCTTGGTGCCTAACATTATTACAGGCTTCGCCCTAAGGTCCCAGGGAAGGTTACAACATTAAAACACACAATTAAAAGCAGGTTAAAATAATTTGCAATCATAGAAATAAGGTGTGTACTAAAAATATACACCTCAAGTGTCGGAAGCCAGAGTAAAGCGGTGTATCTTCAGCATTTGCCAGAAGCTGTATGATGAAGAAGCCAGACTTACCTCTGTAGGGAGTTTGTTCCACAGCATAGGAGCTGCCGCAGAGTCAATTGGACAGTCAAAATAACTGATATATACACACTTCCAAAGCCATTGGAGATGTGCCCACCTGTCTGATACTCAATATAATCTGTTCACAATCTTGACCAAAGCTTTAACCTGAAAAGCCTCCCCATCTCACATGCCTCCAGTCTAGGCCAATAACAGTGTTGCATCATTAACTTCCTCATTAATGCAGCCTCTCTTACAAAATGCAAGAGTGTCACAAATTATGTTACATTAAGACAAATAGAACTGTAACTGGTATAAAAACCACTCCCAAAGTGGAACAATGTACCTGATTATTTCAGGCCTTCTGTTTGTCACCTTTAGAGTAGTTTCTTGTATCTGGCGTCCCCAGAGAAGCATTTAGCAATATTGCTTACGACTCTTTCCATGCCTCCTGCTACAAACACCTACCAGCAGAAAGCTCACATTTCCCTACAAACACCTACAGTGGAGCCCAGTATCTTCTTTTGCTCCTCACTGCAAGCAGCTGGAAGTGATAGAGGATAATTAGCCACAGCAGCTTCACACTTTTTCTAATCTTCAGTTAAATCAGGGAGCTTCTGCAAAACAAGGTAAACTAAGTGAAGGCATGCCCTGCAACAATCAATCAGATTTAGTGTACCTACTTAGGATGTCGAATGTCTGGCAGGGAACGCTCCAAGGCTATGTTGTTGCTCACAAAAATATTGAAACCATTTTCCCGATATGCAGAATCATCATTGTCTTCTTCTGTGAGAGGGTAAGGCTTTCCCTGTTCACCTTTCCCTGAAATGGAACAAAAAAAACAAAATACAGTTACCATCATTGTGCTTGAGTGTCCAGAACTGCTGTGATGTTCTGTGATGGAAACTGTTTTAACAAGCAAACTGCAAATAACGCCTGAAGTATGAAATAGTGGCACTCCAATGCACATTACAGTATTCATGCAGTTCCTCTGTGCATTGAGATTTTCCCTCTGATCTAATAGACCAGAGGGACAGAAAACTGTAAGTGATATAGACAAGAATGTCTATAGGCCCTTCTGCTTTAAGTGTACAATAGAACCTTCTGCATGTGGCTGTCTACCAAAGTAGTTGATAGGTCAAAGCCAAACAACCAGCTCTATGGGCCTTTGAAAGAGAACTGATATTGTTAAGTTGTGGGTGAACATATCAGACGACACAGTGATTCTTCAAACAGCCCTTGTTTATTCACAGGCCAGGGCAGAACTGAACTGAAGGGTTCAGTCAGCCTGCTTATAGAGAGCTCCAGTAAAACGTTACTGTAACAACTTTCTAAAACTATCCAATCACTGAACGTCACTTTCGATCCCTTATTTGTATATCTACAGTATCCTCCTGCTGGCCCAGGGTGAGAACTTCAGTACATAACACCTATAAGCCCTAATCCGCCATAAGGTTTCATACAATGGGACATTGACCCTGATTGACCAAGGTTCTGTTTCCATTGGGGAAGGGTCTCAATGAAACATCCTTCAAACTGATACCAATCATTCATCAGCCAAAGGGTGTGGCCAGTGTGGGCCAACCCTCTGAGGGATAGGACTAGCTGCGTGCATTCCCAGTTGACTAATCACCTATTCAATACCTACCAAACACCTGAAAAGGGCTATTGATACAGATAAATGGCAAAGTAATAGAATATTGACATTTGGAATAGTTTGATCTAGTCTCCATTCTGCAGTAGCTCTTTTAACATTTCACAGCAAGGCTAGAAGGTTCATCTTTTTAAATCTATCTTGCCTCAAATGGCTTCATATCCACAGAGTTGAAGGAAATATGTCAACCTGGTTAATTGAATTGTAACAGGCATGGTGTGCAATATTTTTTTTATCAACCAGCATTTTCTTCATCCTAATTATCAGGCAGTTCTGGATAGTGCAGAAGATCTTGACCACTGGAAGGGGTCTAGACCACAGCAACATTTTGCCCAGAAGAAAGACATTACGGGGAGACATTAGGGATAGACAGTTTTTTTCACTCGATTCCAGAAATTAAAAAAGATTAGTGAGAGAAGAAAAGGAGCAGTATTCTCTTAAATAGGCACAGAACACAACAGCATAAAAATAGCACTCTATCAGTCAAAGCCAGGTATGTTAATTATTAAGATTCTCAATAATAGAGAATAGAGTAAATTGGGTCAGAATACAATGCTATAGAGCATTGAACATATATAGATATTTTTTCACTCTACAGTAATTATCCTCACTTAAGCTCAAAGAGTAGAAAAAGAAACATTTGCATATGTGTTGTTTTTTAAAAAAGAAGTCACCCTACTTTGGTTTGTAGGAAGACCAAAATAAAATAAAAAAATCCTTTTACATTCTGAAATTATTCAGAGCATATTTCTTCCTACTTGTCAGGTGTGCGTGCAGGAGCCAGGCCCTGTGACCAATAGGACTCTGCAGGACTGGGGCCGTCCTAAGTTTGTTCTAAAGAGGCAAGGCGTGGCCACACAGGTGAGGCCGATTAGTAACTCACAGCACCTGATGGCAAGAGCTGGGAAGGGATATAAGCTCAGCATTTCCCTTCAACTCTTGGCCACAGTAACACGTTCCCTGCCTTGCTGTGTTTGACTCCTTGCTTCCTGACCCTCGGAAACCTTGGCTTCTTGACTCCCGGCTCTCTGACCCTCGGACTCTTGGCTATCTGACTCCTGGCTTCTGGACTCCTGTGCCTGCTCCCACCCTGCCATCTTGTCCCCAGTCCCAACATCCCCAGCCGGGTCTTAGATCACCCATGAACCGGACTGTGACACTACTCATGTAACCCTTCACAGAAAACAGCAACCACTGTTCGTGACAGCAATTGTTAACTTGTTAACCAGGAACTAATGCATGTTTGCCAAGTCAGCATCTCTCAGATCACATCTACACTAAGCCTTAAATGCACTCTTACTCCACTTTATTTATTTATTTATTTATTTATTTATTTAAAAAAAGGGTAATCCTGGGAACTGTAGTTTGTTAGGGGTGCTGGGAGCTGAAGCTTTGTAACATATGCATCATCAGCAAACTACAGTTCCCATGATTATTCATGACTGCAAAAATGGTATAACCGTGCTATGGTGTGGAAGTAACGAGATTTGAGGCACATTGTAAAACTAATGAGATTGTGGAAATCATTCATGATATCCTAGCTAGCTGATACAATGCAACTGTTCAGGCAAACGTGCAGACTAGGAAACTCCAAAGAACCTCTCTTCCCTATTCAAAAACAAGCCCGTCTTTTGCAATCATACCTTCATTCCTTAGCAATTACATATTGGCACCCCAAATTCAGATGCACGACAGAACACAAAAAATAAAATTTTCATTGCAGGTGTTTCAGAATTTAGTGAGTAAACAATAGGATTGAATTTGTTGTGGCTTTCATATTCAGCAGTTAAATGTAAGAAACATACAAGATAAGCACAGGCACCAACTCTATGCGAGGGCACTTCAGCCCTCCTCCCCAGTATGTAGGGACATGGCTGAGGCCCCCAATCTTGAGTGGTCGGACCTTGCCGGGCCTCCCCACAGCAGTGGTGAGCCTTGCCGGGCCTCCCTGCAGTGGCAGTAGGCCTTATCCCAATGCACATGATGTCACATATGTGTGTTGCATGTGTGACATCATGAACACATGATGAGGGCCCCCCCCAATGTTGGGTGGAACTTGACGTCTCTGAATATAAGAGATGGTCCCTTATTCAAAATAATAAAAAAGTCAATTAAGCCTGTTTGATTAGACACTATGGCTTAACTAGCCATCTTAGGAAGTGGTCAGCTTTGAGATTTACCATCAGAAGGCACTGAGACACACTGTGTGGACACAGTGGTGAGCTTGATGGCCAGGGGTGCTTTTCACCAACTTTGTAAGAGCTATGGGCAGTCGTGCACTTGGATATTCAAATAGAGACAGTGGCCCTTCCCCCCGCAATCACAACAAGCTTTTCTAGCTAGATTAGGGGGAGGCATGTTTCAGGTCTCTGACTTGGGTATTTATTTCTATTGGTTTTAAAACTGACTTTGGGGGGGGGGGAGGTTATTGTTTTAAAACCAATTTTAGTTGTTTTTATTGCATGGTTGTAAACAATAATAGGTAAAATTGCTTATAAAACATGTTTATTAGGAGAAACTCTCACTAAAATTCTGATGGTGTTTTGTAAGGACTTGCCAGCTGATTGCAGACTGATGTGGATATGTAGCAAACTGAGCCTAAAATTGGAAAAAAAAATAGAAGCAGAGAGAAACCAAAATTGACAGATTTATATGTCTTTAGTGGGGGACAGGGGCCCCGCTGTTGCTTTCAATGTATTTTGCAAATGCACAGTATGAATTATCTGCCCTGCTATACCACTGCTTTATTTTCTGTTCACAGGGGGAATACAACAGGGTGCAAAGCTGGTGATGAACACATCTCTAAATCCTTGTTTAAACCCTGCTGCTCCCTAAACAAACAAACCCTTGCTTTGAAACACCACACTTTGGCTGCTTCAATGGAACATACAAGTACATTTTTGAGAACAAGAAAGGTTTGATATAGTCCCTAATACCAACATATTGTAATGTTAGATTGGAATAGAAATAAATGCTGGCAGTCAAGTGTGTCCAGTGTGTTTGGAATGCCAGAGTGTGCGATGGGAGATAAGGATTCCTCCATGTTCTGATTTAAGTTACACAGCACTATCGCCGTTCTAAAAAGACTGTGTTTTCTGCAGCCAGCTGAAACTAATCACAGATTTCTAGCCAAGGGATGTGCAGTATATCTTCTATTTAGCCCAGCTACTTATCACCAAATGCCACAACTGCTAGAATGCCTTTTCTCCGATTTAACATAAGAACAGACTGGCAGCAGGGTGCTTCCTAGAGCCAAGCCTTGTAGACAGCAAACCAGCCAGCTTGTGAAAAACACAACTTATCTCAACATTAAAAGCATTTGCGCTTTGATTCAATCATGGGCTGACCTGCATAGATAAAAGGAATCCAGTGCATGCCCAGATAATTTGAAGGAATTCAGCTTTACAGGAAGGAGGCTGCAGGGTTTAAACAAACCAAGCGACATTCTAGGAAAGGTATGTGTTGTAGCCGAATGTCTGTGTTGTAAACAAAATCTGCCCTTCTTCCCTTATGGGGTATCCAAGAGCCCATATAGAGCCCTTAAGTGGGTTCTCTATAGGTAGGAGAAAATAACAGAGACCAACCAGAGAATATTGAGAAGCAAAGCAGCTAGTAAGTCTGATCTTTATTAAAGCTGTTGCAACAGGGTTCTACCCTCACACGCAGGAGGACGGAGGAGGACCCAGAACAAAGATGTGCCTGCCCTTATACTGTATAGACATTTTAAATTCCCTACCCTGGAGCTCAAGAACACCTCTCCATTCATCATACATACATCACAGAAGGGGTGTAACCCAAGACCACCCCCCACAAACATCATACCTACATCACAGAAAAGGCGGTCTACAACAGAAATTTGAATGTTGTTGTTTTTCCTGTCTGCCAGGTTATCTGATAATGCCTTATCTGATTGCCTTTCCTGGTAGTCTGCCCATTCCTTTCAGATGGTGATTACCCAATTCCTGAGACAATGGGAAGGTTCCCTCACCCCCTCCCTCCTTGCAGAGAAAACATTTGGTCAATTTGGGAGTCAAAATGGTTTCAGGATGGTCTTCCTGCACTGCTCCAGACATGTGGTCCACATATCTATGTTCGTGCTTGGTTGGTACATTTATGAACATTTATTATATATATATATAAGACCTTAAATTTTTTATTACATCTGCAGTAATTAAATAGGTGCTGCAAAACCCAACTGGAGAAGGTGAACTAAATCATGGCTGGCACTGAGTAAAAGAAGTAATATTTAAAGCTGCAAGACTACAACTTGAGAGAAACATAAGTCACGGTCCCTACAGTCACTTTGAACCTCGGTCACCTCAAGACTGTTAGTATTATGAGGGAAAGATTCAAGGAAATACCTTAAATTTAGGTTTGCACAATTACAGTGATCTGTTACCCTGCTACAATAAATTCCCCCTCCCTTGGGCTTCCAGAAAATACTCTCTTGGTGATAGCAATCATGAGCAGCAACAGAGTCCATCCTGTGAAGCAGGTAGGATCTAGACTTGCCCTTCTCTGAATTGGAAGGCTCCTACCATTGACAGAGGGGATTGGAATCCAGTGGAGCCTTTATAAAAGGGTGGGAAGGTAATTCTCACCATTTCTCCCTCCTTCTGTATCCCTATCGGGCATCTCCCATTCTGTTCCAGAGGGTTTGCCAACTATCAGAAGCATGTTTTTTTGGGAGATACAGCGTGCTTTGGCAGGAAAGGAAGCAGGAATTGGGAAAAAAACCCCATCTTCCTTCATTCCTCTAGCAGGACTTATCATTTTACACTGAAGCATCCTAAAGTACCATCAAAAGTTCTGCTCACAGGAACTCTAGATCCAACCTTAAATTGCTAATATAGTACTAATTTGTGGCAAAAGTTGCCTTGATCTACCATTTGAAAATTATAGCTGGTGGCTAAGAAAATAATCAGTCCATTTTAATAATGTATTTAACAATATGTTCTCAAATCATGCATTAGAACCATTTTCAATAATTTAAAAATGGATCATTCTGCACAGCTATAGATAGGGAGGGAGAACTTGTGAAAATTACCTTCCCACCCTTTTATGAGGTGGGGGGAGGCTATGCTCTGTTGTCTATGCTCTGGTAACCTCTAGGTTAAATTACTGCAACATGTTATACATGCAGCTGCCTCTGAAGATGATTTGGAAACTACAGCTGGTGAAGAAATCTGCGGCCAGGTTGATCACCGGGGTAAGATGGTTTGAGCACATAATACCAATCCTGGCCCAACTGTACTGGTTGCTGATTAGTTTCCAGGCCCAATTCAAAGTTCTGTTTTTGACCTATAAAGCCTTAAACAGCCGAGGGCTGCAATAACTCAAGGATTCCCTCTTCCTGTATGAATCAACCCTGTGACCATAATCTGAAGCCCTTTTTCATGGGCCTCTATGAGAGGTCTGGATGATGGCAATATGAGAATGGGCCTTTTCTGCAGTGGTTTCCTGTTTGTGGAATGTTCTCCCCGGTCAACTCACCTGGCACCTTTGTTACATCTCTTTAGCCAAAAATGTTCTTCTATAACCAGGTCTTTAGCTGATAAACAATAAATGGCCTTTTAAATGTGTTTGTGGGAGGGGCGTTTTTTTAAATTTTAATTTTTACTATGTATTTTGTGTTCTCATTTTGAATTTGTATGTTGTGAACTGCCCTGTGATCTTTTAAGTGTAGTATATGATAATAATAATAATAATAATAATAATAATAATAATAATAGTATAGGCATGCATATATCCTTATTTCTCTTTCTTCCGCAGACGTACTTACTCAACCACAGACAAATACCCAGTTCTTAGCAAAGTACCATCACAATGTATCTTACATTGAAAATAGTTCTTTCGAATGCTAACATAAAAGATATTAAAACTTTGTAAAAGGTGCCAAAAAGCACTTCTGCCCCTTACAATAGATGCATAAAGTCAATCACACCCACGGTGGCTTTGTGCTAGGATGTAGGCATGTATGGATTGAGCATTATTGCTGCATTATGGATTGAGAATTCTTGCTGCATTAAGGCAATGTGCTTAGTAAGACGTTTGAACTTCTGCACCTGCCTTATACAGTGCCACCACCATGTATAAATGCTTTTTGGTGGACTTCATGGGACTGCTGCAAGGTCTTTAATTTCTCCATTTGGAAACAGTATTCCATACATGAGGATGAACCTGAAGGTACAACATGTCCTGCTGAATTGCTGTACCAGTAAGAATTGTACACAGGAGGGGATTTTGGTCAGGACAACTTGCCATAAAAAGCTGCAACTGCTGAAATTCCCACTTCTACAAAATACTCGGAAGCACACCAGCTCTGTATTATATGACATTAGACTCTTTACACTGAAAATGATACTTCATGAGAAAAACATATGTTAAGCATGATGAGAAAACATATGTTAAGATTAGCCAATAAGGCACTGGATCGAGACTGGCATTCTGGGAATGGAAGAAGCTTAGCATTTGGAGCTGGCTGCTTGCCATCTGCCTTGGGATTGGCTGGAGGAAATCAGATGCTTGAAAATGGATTTCTAATTGATGCTGGAACACTTACCTGGCAGCACAGCTGACTAGATAAGCGTCAGCCCTGCCTCAAAGCAACGGAGGCTGCCATCAAAAGAACTGCTGTCTGCCCACTGGCATCGGACTGGCTTCAAGAATATTGTACCGGCCTTGCAGTAAGATTAATCCTTTATACACTGTAATGCTAGCTTGGAGCAGCAGTTACTTTAGCAGCTAGCTATTCATGCCCTGTAAGGATTACACACTAGTGGCTGCTAAATTGTACCATTTTTATCTATGCTTGTAGTGCTTATGGATGCATGCATATTCTCAATGTGTGGTTTCATACCAAATCAGTTGACTTGCATCATCTCCAGCATCATCATCAATTTTTATCTGTTAATCTTCCTTCACTGTTGGGATAGCTCAGTTGGGATAGCTCACAACTCTTAATCTCAGGGTTGTGGGTTTGAGACCCACATTGGGCAAAATATTCCTACATTGCAGAGGGTTGGACTAGCCGACCCTTGTGGTCTTTTCCAACTCTACAATTCTATGATTCTATGACTACGGATGTGGCCATTTTACTACAATTGTACAGAAGTGCCATCCATGATTAAAATGGTGGGTGGGTGTTTGGGTGTGTGTGTGTGAGAAGTGGACTGCAAGTGTTAATATGATTTATAATCAAAAAAGTTAAAATATAGCAATTTCAAGGTGTGTTAGCATTCTCCTGCATCTCTTGAATAGAGTTACTCAATCTAGTTTGTTAAGAAAATTCCCAAACTCGGATCCATGGGCGACTCTGGGGCATTTCTCTAAGGTTGTCTATCTTGAAATTTTTATGTGTTTATATGCCTATCGCATTTTTAAACTTAAAATCCATTGTTGTATATTGTTTTAAATGTTTGTTTTGCTATTGGGATTGTAGTTCCATTTGTGTTTCACAAGCTGGTCTCTCACTGTAATAAATTTCATGTTCATGAGTCATGAGTGTCTACAGCCCACAACAACTAAAGGGCTCCCTACTACCAAAGAGACATTCTGTAATAGGCACCGCACTTTGCACAACACCATATTGGCTCTAGCAGTATATGTGCTGCCTTCAGTATGCTTGGTTTTGGAAATGGATGAGAATTATGTGGGAAGGAAAGTGGTGATGAGCTATCCATGTTGCTTTTTATTGACCTCTTCTCCTTTGCTTTGTATAGTTTGCAATCACGGAAACAGCAACTAAACAAATCTAGCACTATAATAGTAAACTCAAAAGTTTTCTGACAGCCAAATCAGGCCTACTGAGCAAACTATCAAAGGCAACTCAAGGTTTCTAAAAGTACCAAAAGTATTAAGGGGAAACATCTGAGCCTGCAAAGAACACACTGAGGTCTGAGGATATTCAGTGACCAAGGAATGCTGAATATCTGTCAAGAAACCACCTCTTAAAACTGTAGGGGAGGGAAATGGGATGGAGTATCCCAGGCTTCCTCAAACTCGCCCCTCCAAATGTTTTGAGACTACAATTCCCATCATCCCTGACCACTGGTCCTGCTAGCTAGGGATCATGGGTGTTGTAGGCCAAAAACATCTGGAGGGCCAGGTTTGAGGAAGCCTGGAGTATCCTGAAAAGCAGCATGGTTGGCTGGCTTGGACCATGAATAGGAGCACTCTACAATGCAACATTTTGTCACAGGCACTACTTGTCCTGTGTTTGTTTGCTACATTTCTGTACTTCTTCTCAAAAAGTCTCCTGCATGGTTTACACTAAGTGTAATAGCAACAGGTACGTTGAGGTATCGTATTGTTTCTATTTGCCCCCAGTATTATGTAAGGAAAATTCAATGTCCACCAAAGAGAAGCACAAAATTAGGGAAAGACTGCATGCAAAAAAAATGTGTAATAACATTCTGAGTTATACTCCTACATTGTGAACTCCTACATTGTATACTCCTACATTGTGAACTGACAGTGCCCCAACCGCCATTGGTCTAGAAGACTTCAGGCATCCCCTACACTGTGCAACAGATGCCAATGCAGTATCACTTAGGAGAGCAGTCACAATAGCTCCCAGAAGCTAGAAACCCATGGTACCATGTGTTGGTTGGGAGCCACTGTGACTGCTCTGGCCAACTAGAAGTAACATTGCCACTTACTGCATTGCCTAAGAGTTCATTTCTTTGCATGTGCACCACAAGGAATCACATAACCACCAAAGAGCAGTGGATTAAACTCAGGGCTCTAAAATTTTGGGGAAAGGCCCTTCGCAGGGAAACAGACACACTAAATCTAACTACTGACGTTGATGCACAAAGTTGTGTTTTCAGAACTGTGTTTGTGAAGTGGTTGTCAGCATGACATGATTTTGCATGTTTAAAAAAAGAGAGAAAAGTATAAATTCCTAATCCCCAATCAAGAGATGTAATTCCTCTTGTTAATTCCGATCCTTAGGGGATACAAGTAAGGATTATTTTTAGGTTAATACTGATTTCTCATTAGAATGAAGCTGTGATGCCCCAGCTGCACTAAAATGATTGACTTTTGTTTACTGCAACAAACAACTTTGGTTAGAAGATGACAAAATTAGGAGCAAGACTTTAGAATATTTAAATGTAGCTAATCAAACAGATGATGTTTGGAGGTTTTGTTTTTTTAAAAAGAAAATGTAAGTGATCTTGCAAAGTATTCTCTTCACTTGTATTTCTGGTCTTGCTAGAACAGCAACTGTAAATTACATTTTAAGCTATCCTTCTTCCAAGGATCTCAGTGCTCCCCACCCCCAACATCCTCACTGTGGGATATTTTAGGCTGAGAGATGGTGATCTGGCCACAACTTGCCAGGAGCCAGATCTCACACAACTGGCAGAGTAAACCCTTTGGCGGGGGGGGGGGGAGGGATATAGATGTACCAGTTCTAGAATGATGCGGCTAATGCTGGACCATGACTAGGGAGATGCAGCTTCAAATTCCCCAAGAGATCTTTGGCAAGTCACTCTTCCACAACCTCATCTTCCTCACATGTGCGCCACCCTAAGTATTTTGGAGTGGGATCCAAGTGAATGAAGAAATCAAAGCAGCTGGAAAAAGACCCTCAAAGTAATTGATAATAATGTGGAGAAGTGGATCTTGTTAAAGCTTTTACAACTTACAACACTATAATAAAAAAAAAATCACCTGCTAAATAATGCAATTGATACAGGTTTTGTTTTGGCAATTCAAATGGCTATTTCTAAGTGATCTTAATTCTTCATGTGATTCTGATTCTACATAACATAGGAATGTGATATATGTGTGTGTGTGTGTGTGTGTGTATATGTATATATAAATTCCAAAGAGATTCCTGCAGATATTGCTTTGCCAGGCCTAATGCAAAAGAATAAGAAAAAGGAAGGTATCCCAGTGTGTAAAGGAGGAAGTTAAATACTAATTTACTCTAAACATCCCACCTGAACGCATGGCATCTTTTTGAATACTTTCATAGTCATGCCAGTCCTTTCTTTTCAAGCCATCTGTCCAGGTATAGAGCTGTCCATCTCCAAGCCCCATTGGGAATGTCTGTAGAAACAGGGGGGAAAAGGTATAATTAAATGTTACCTTCTCTACTGAAACCCAAACTCATTCATAGGCAAAGGCAGATAGCAGTCAGGTTCCCTGTATGGCTCTGCAACATACATATGGGACTCATGCATATGCAGGATGACTTTCACATTCACTTTAAGGGTTGCCCTGAGAAAGTGGGACTTCATCCAGGTAGAGATTTGCTAGGCTTCCTCTACTTATCTTTAGCTGCTTAGTAAATATCTTATTAGTCTAGCAAGCTTTAAGAACAAACTGCTGCTTAGTAATTTATCTTAAGATCAGCTATTCACAGTTTCCCCTCTTTGTTTTTATAGTATTGTGCTGTTACCTTTGTTTAAATTGTTGCCATTTTTCGTATTCCATATAATGATTTTTTTATGTTGTCTTTTTCTGTGATGTTTCACTTTTTTAAACTAAACCAAAACAGAGAAGGCAGGTAAATTTACACTTTAAAAGCTAGTTTAGGACAGTGGCTAGACTGTGTTGTGTGTTGGAGAAATCAAGATTCAAATCAAATGGCTATCGTGTTGTGATGTTTAGATGACAAGGTGTTCAAATGACAAGGTGTTCAAATGATAGGAGAAAGGAGGCCACACCAAAGGATTTCCCCAATTTTAGTCAAATCATCCCCCCACCTACAGTGTGGCCTTCTAAAAAGTGCGGCTAAGGGACCCATCACAAAAAGTAGGGAGAATGACCAGGCCGCCTATGGTCCTTTGTAGTTTAAGCACTGGTCTCTGGCAAATCACTAAGCCTGAGGTACCTCACAGGAATATTGTACAAATAAATAAGAGAGCCCAATGTACTCTACTCTAAGGCCCTTGGAGGAAAGTAAAAGATGACAAACAGATACATATTTCCAGAGAACTAAACAAGAAACTCATTTCAGGCAGGTTAGTAAGCATCATTTGTGGGTTTAATATATGTGGAGGCTTGGAATCAGCACCCAGAAGAGCAGAGCAAATGCCAGGGTCTACCATGACTGAGACTGGCTTCCCTTTTTAAAAATCAAACAAAAAACCCCCCACATTTTTATGTCCCGTGTTGTAAAGGGAAGTGCTGCTTCCACAATCTTCATGATCTCCAATGCCTTGGGGCCCTACCTACGATATGGCCACATTCACGCCATACATTTAATGCACTATTATACCACTTTAAGCAGTCATGGCTTTAAGCAGAATTCTGTTAAGGATGCTCAGGCCCTCCAGTCCATACCCTCCAACATGTTGAGATTGAAAACCAGGATGTGTTTTTCCCCAACTGCACTGCCACACAAGTCACATGACCGGTGTGGTCTCACATTTCCCCCCCAAAACACATGTTTTTGGGCTCCACGGTCTCACACATTTTTAGGTGCCATGCTGAGAACACGGCAGCCCAAAACAGGATGTCCTGATTTAATTGGGGTAGTTGAGGTGTATACCAGACCCCTCACAGAGCCACAATTCCCAGAGTCCTCTGTGCGGAGGGATAGATTCTTACACCACTCAGAATTGTGTGTGTGAACCATGACTGTTCAAAATGGCATCATAGTGCTTTAAGAGTATGGTGTGATTGTGGCCTATGCTGAGAGTGAGACACTGAGGATAATGAAAATGGGGGTGTTTGCAGCTGCCTCACCAGGTGTTTCTCTTCACAGTGCTGGGGTGAGGGAGTACTGGGCAGATACAGCGACACTGCTTTCCGCACTGCCACCCATCCCCAATTCTTTACTGTGCCCTCTGATAAGCTTTGGGGCACCCACCTAGGACAGTATGGGGGGCACACCACACGGCACCTTGCTGAGGGCCCTCTCAAACATGGCGCCAAGCCTGACTGTGTAAGTGTGGAAACGCCTGCATCAAGCAGTTATGACTGAACTAGGGCAGGAGAAGATTGCATTCCAGCCTGTAAAAACATCTGCACACTTCCCACAATAAACTGAAATACTGTTGAAGTGTAATAAATTATTTAAATCAAAACAAGTAAGATTGGCGCAAAGAAATCCAGCCACATTCTATTTTATTTCGAGTGCAGTGGTACCTCGGGTTAAGAACTTAATTCGTTCTGGAGGTCCGTTCTTAACCTGAAACTGTTCTTAACCTGAGGTACCACTTTAGCTAATGGGGCCTCCCGCTGCCACCGCCGCACGATTTCTGTTCTCATCTTGAAGCAAGGTTCTTAACCTGAGGTACTATTTCTGGGTTAGCGGAGTCTGTAACCTGAAGCATCTGTAATCTGAAGCGCCTGTAACCCGAGGAACCACTGTATTTATTTCAAATAGTAAACAACATATTCTTGAAATTGACAAGGTAAATGGCCCCATCCTTCTCCCTGGTGCGTTTGAGATAAAAATTGCCAAATTTTATAATTCCTATACTACTGTCCCGCTATGGACTGTTAGTAAGAAATCTCTCGAAAGCATCAGTACTCAAACTGATCTTAAAACAATTCCAGCATTAAAAGGTCAAATCAATGTATATTGCATTGCCTACTAATTTGTTCTCAACTTTTATTCACGTTTTCATATTTTCCTTTATTCTTCCCCTCCCCCCACTTTCTGCAATTTGTTGAGTCTAGAGACTGCTGTGACCTGTGTTTCTAACCTGGAAATATGGCTGCCATGAGGTAGAAGAAGCCCTGAACCTACAGAGTCCCCCTGTTGAACTGGCAGCCACTGAAGCTCAGTCTCGTGAGCCAGGGCCCCAATCCTTCATCTTCAGGGGAAAAGACTTCAAGTGCAATTTTTCAGAGGAATGGCCCTTGATATCCCTACCTCCTCCAAACCCCCATCACCAGATAGGCCCATGAGGCTTTAGCCTGAGAAGGTAGCATGGCCATTCTTGGAATGAATCCAAATACCTACTCTAAGGACTAGAAATGTTGTTTTCTAAACAAATATTTTTTCAGAAAGATGGTCTCTGTGCTCAGTATCGCATTCTACACTCTGCCCCGCCACCCCCATAATTGTGTTTTTGTGTGTTTGTGGCAAACGCCCATCTCTTATACTTTACCAACAGACCAGCAAGTAGCTCCGACCTCATGAACTTTGTAATGCATTTCTGACAAACTTTGACAATACGTTTTTGAGTATATGTAGTCATACTTGCATTGTTTGTCAAGGCAGCACTTTGGGGCAGACGTCAAGGACCCTCTTCAGCTAAAAGAGTAGGGCGGCCCCAGATATAGCAATGAGTGAAGTAATATACATTGCAATCTAAATAGGGGTGGGGGGCACTGTAGGGTTATTAATTCTAAATTTGCTTAACTGTACCATTGTACTTATACCCCGAGGTTTATGCACTTATTTTACCAACCTCAACCAACTGTGACCATGTACAGATACCCATATCTTAATACCCAATGGTCAGGGATGAAGACAGTTGTGGAGGGCCATAGGTAAGCATGGGAAATAAATCTGATTCAGTTGAGGAACCGACAAAATCCACACTCCCCAAAACAATACACAAACTGAAACATAGCCATCTTTCAACATTAGCACTTCTCTGAATTTTGCCATGCAGTTTTCTAGCTGAATAGTGTGTACAAAAATGCATACACTGCAGTAAGGTAAAGGTAAAGGTGCCCCTGACCATTAGGTCCAGTCGTGACCGACTCTGGGGTTGTGGCGCTCATCTCGCTTTATCGGCCGAGGGAGCCAGCATACAGCTTCCGGGTCATGTGGCCAGCATGACTAAGCTGCTTCTGGCGAACCAGAGCAGCGCACGGAAATGCCGTTTACCTTCCCGCCAGAGCGGTACCTATTTATCTACTTGCACTTTGACGTGCTTTTGAACTGCTAGGTTGGCTGGAGCAGGGATGGAGCAACGGGAGCTCACCCTGTTGCGGGGATTTGAACTGCCGACCTTCTGATTGGCAAGTCCTAGGCTCTGTGGTTTAACCCACAGCGCCACCTGCGTCCATACAGTAAAGTGGGCTTAAAATGCACATATCTGTGAAAAATGAAACATCCTTTTTGAGGCGAGACACCATGTTCCAAATGCAGTCACATATGCAGTTTGTATAATCAGAAAAGAAGTGCTGTGATATGAAAAAGGAATCTCTGTTCCAAAGCTGTATATTGTGTAAAGAGAAATTAACAGACTCAGACAACTTTTACAGCACAGGAAATGAATTAACACAGAATTCCATCCTCTCATATGTCAATTAAGTTGACAATTGTTGTTTCTTCCGAAAGAGATTATCTTGCACATGTTTTGAGAGTATGACGAGAAATAACAAAACACTTATTAAATGCTGTAAGACCAAAGGGGAAACAGCACAGCTGAATTCATTTTCTTTTTTTCTTTTGTTTTTATTGCTTTAGCTGTACGTTAAATAGACCAGTGTTCTACAAGTCAGCTTTAGGGTTGTCAGTCATGCTTATTTGCTTTCCCTTGATCACTTGAAATAGCTTCTTCCCCAAATGGCAGAAAACTTTAGTTTAACTACTCAGCGGATTCCCTGAAGTATTTCAAATTTCCCTGGATAATACAGCAATTTGAACTCTCCAATATTAATAAGCCCAAAAGCCTGATTTAAGCAAGGAATGGAAATCTTCATTAACAAGAAGCAGTCAAAGATTTTTTCATCAAGTTTACATTTAGGAATTTATGTACTGTTAATATGTTTTTGCACATACAATGGTACCTTGGGTTACAGATGCTTCCGGTTACAGACTCTGCTAACCCAGAAATAGTACCTTCTGTTCCAGATGAGAACAGAAATCGTGCAGCGGCAGCGGGAGGCCCCATTAGCTAAAGTGGTATCTCAGGTTAAGAACAGTTTTAGATTAAGAATGGACCTCCAGAATGAATTAAATTCTTAACCCGAGGTACCACTTGGGTTACAGACGCTTCAGGTTACAGACACTTCAGATTACAGACTCCGCTAACCCAGAAATAGTACCTCGGGTTAAGAACTTTGCTTCAGGATAAGAACAGAAATCGTGCAGCGGTGGCGTGGTGGCAGCGGGAGGCCCCATTAGTTAAAGTGGTACCTCAGGTTAAGAACAGTTTCAGGTTAAGAACGGACCTCCAGAACGAATTAAGTTCTTAACTCAAGCTACCACTGTATTGCCTTTATTCTGACAGAAATGGTGAGTTAAAATACCAGATCAGTTGCTTAAAAATACTGTGTATGTTTACAACTGGAGGAATTCCTCCAACTTAGCACATACTTGTATGAATCAGGACGACTGTAAGTGATCAGATATACTGATGGTGCATGTTATCTGCCTCCCCAAATAGCTTTTATGTGGAAATAATATATTTTCTGGTATAGTATACATTAAAGATTGCAATGGATGGGAGGCTAATCACTGCCTTCCTTAGCGATTTATTGCTTCTGATTCCACACCTCCCTGCCTATTGTACAGATTGGAATATAATTATCCTTCAGATTTCACATTTCTCTGAATTTTGCAACTGTTCTCAGCAAACACATTAGCCTAGAAGGCAAGGGCCAGGTCAGGTTCTATTTGCCAAGAACAAATTTCTCATGTGTCCTTCCATCCTCCCCCCTCCCCTTCCCCTTCCCCTGCCTGTCAAAATGACAGACAATCCTCTAGTAGCACTTTACATAGTGCTTCCACAGTATCCACCATAAATTCACGTTGCTCAACAATGTGTAGAGGTTTGCCCTTTTCTCATTCCCCACAGAAAGCGCAGTAAAGGAGAGGCGGGAGGAGAAAATCAGCACCACAGTAACTTTGGGAGCTTGAGCTTTATCCCCTAATTTTATAGAGTACGATGACCCAGGAAGTCCTTTCTGAAGAGCAGAATTCAGACATACTAATTCTCCTAATGAGACCTATTGGGGGGAAGTGAATATTAGTGAGCCCTGGGGAATTACATTTAATGAAATTTTCTCCATATGCAAACTGTAGGAGATTCCACCCCTACCCTGCTTACTCAAGGAGCCTGAAGCGGATTTTTAGGAATTTCCTAAAACTTCATGTTCCACCAAGCAAGCAAGGAATTTAAATTAATGGGGTGTGAAGCTGTCTGCAATTCCTAAGCTGCTGATTTCCCTTGTCAGCAGCTGAACATCTAGGAAATCTTTCCTTTTGATGTTGTTCTATGGCTTAACAAGATTATTTTAAAGTGTTTCAGAAAATAGTTTCCTTGACTTGGTGATGCCTAAGGCCAGAGGAGTTTCCATTCAAGAAACTCAGTTATTGGAGTGCTATTTCTGTGGCTGGAAGTCTTATAACCTCAACAGTCACTTCTATTCAGTATTGCATTTATAAAATGAAGAAGCCAAATTAAACAATACCTCATGCACAAATATAATCAGATCATACGAATAAAGTCCAATGAAGCATTTGCAGCAATGCCTTTGTAATTTGAGCCATCCATCCATTACTCCTAAATTATTGTCCCCTTCCTTTAAACAATTATTTTGCCACTACTGTGTACCACAAGGTGGGCAAATCTTCTCCTGGCAGCCACCACTCTGACGCTCCAACAAGGCTCCTTGGACAATGTTATGTAATGATGTAACATGGCTCTGATAGGGTTTTGGAGGTGAGGTGAGGTGAGCTGAAATGACTACCATAAAGGGCCAACATTTCCCCTTCCCAGAAATCTTAGTGGAACAGTGATATGGCTATTCCAGGGAGCACTGGGAGAGAAGGGAGTTGGAGAAGAAGAGGCGCTTCAACGATTCCACACGGCATGGGAAAAAATAAATGCCCAAAAGGATTTTATTTTTTTTATGAAATAAAAACCACCTCTGTTCTGACACCACCAAAGACCCCCCCCCCACCTCATGGATCCCAAATTCCTTTCAATCACTAAACGGAGCGGTAAATTTGGGGGC